ACACGGCTACAACCTATACCCCTCAATTCTTCATACATTCAAGATATGCTGGTCTCCCATCTTATGTAATTGGTATGATCATGTGCAGCTATCATGCCAGTTTCCTTCATTTTCAGCCCTGATGAAGCACTAGATTATATTGACAACTTCCAAATAGTTCATCCAGTGCAAACGGACCTTGATGGGAATGTTCTTCCACAAATTCTTGAAGTAAAGTAACAATTGTTGGCAGATGCACAAATAGTTCTTTCATCACGTTCCTTACTGCTTTGCAGTCACTGTTTCTGAATTTAGCAGCTATGCTACCAGAAAGTTGATCAATGACATCATAATGTAATCCTTTGCTTGAGCTACACAACCACACAATGAATTTGCTTATCAACATATGCCATATTGCTTTGAATGTGATCTTGTGTACTCTGATAGCACAGTTGTACAATTTTCCTTTCATTATGTTGATGGTGGTGTGTTCTGAAAATACTCCACTTTCTGTCCAAGAGTCTTCAAGTTTTCAAGTGGCAAAATGCTGACCAACTGCTGTTAGGTAAACCACAAGGATATAGAAGCCTCCCAGTCAAATGAGTTCATTCACTTTACAATATGCCTGATCAAACGTTATGACTATGTGCTGTTGTTCCAGGTGTCCTGCAACTGTTTTACATTGCGTGATGACAGTCCAAGTGGTGTCATACTCAGCTGCTGATGCAGACAGTATAGGACAAAATTGAACAGTCATTGGAGACTTTGTACCAGCTTCTAGATCTAGTTGTGTGATATATCAACAAGCCTAATTTAATATTTTTTGGCATTAGCTTTTTGTCCCTTGATTGCAGGTAAACCAAATCCTGACATATTCAGTACATCTCTGTCTAGATTCTTATCTTGTACATGACTTTCAACATCTAAGTCATCATTGTCCTCTTCCAAGATCAAACAGATCAATGTGTAAATGCTGACAGGAACACATTTTTGGGCTTGCTCTTCATTCAAGTTGCTGTATCCCTTCATGCCGGCTATAATTGTCAAATCTGCTTTGATCTTGAGAGCAGTATAATACAAGATTCTTGGGTACAAAACTCTTCTCTAAACTGCAAACAAATGGCTTCCTCATCATTTATATAAAAATTAAAATTGCTTGTACATCATTACCAATGGTTACAATTTGGAAGGTAGGGAGTGGAAGATTTGTATTTCTTTGGTGCTGAACATAAACGTCTGTCTTGTAGTAAGTCTGAAGTTCTTGCTTCATTTGCTTCAGTGTGATCAGAGAACATTTGTTACCTTCATCATCTACTAAATTGCAATATCTTTCAAGTATATCTTTCAGGCTGTACACATTTTTCCATGCAAAACTAGCAGTTCATCAATCACTTGATGCCATGCTCTCCCTTTAGGAGAAAGAAGAATATCTTCTTGCACAATCTCCAAATGCAAATGGAAATAAGAGACTTGTTGCTTCTGTGGTTCCTCCTGCCTACATTCAGGATGGTAATGTGCCTCAGCAGCTGTTAGAACTTTGACATCAATTCAGCAATGCAACACTTCATTCTTCTCTGCCAGCTTGTGTATATCATTGACTGATTCAGATTACAACACTTGACTCATTCTGCCAGAAACATTTCAATAAGAAGAGACTATGCACATCCTACAGTGAACTACTGGAGTAGATGATCTGCTTGATGTCAGAGCGTGTTCTTCTCTTGATGTTGTTGGTAGTGTTTCCCTTTTGTCTTCTACCTTGCATGACTTTCTTAACAGTCTCTCAGTATGTCATTTGTGTGTAAAAGAACTGTAACAAGAATGGTGCCAACTGAGGCTTTTGGAATGTTGCAGCATGGGATCAACACAATGTAATAAATAGTCTCTGAAGAATAATGCCAAAACAAATGTTGAATTCAAGAACTGTCCTATGTTAAATGAGTGCTTTGTTTGTTTGCACAATTGTAGCAGTTGTAATTTGGCTTGGCGTTTAAAATGATTACTAAACTTCTTTGAGACATGATGCATCCTGTAGATTCTGTGTCATATCTCCCACACTTCACTGATGCTATCAGCTTCATTGTAATATTTGCTTAAGGGTGCATCTCTTGTCAACAATATTCATTAGAAGTTTTCATGTCATGGTAATTTACAACAGAACAGAGTTGATGTAGCAATTTTGCAAACCTTTTGGGTACGTTATAATGAACAAAACTCTAAATTCACAGCAGCTATCCTGGACTCCAGTATGGCTACTATGCCAGAAATTATCTGCTTGATTCATATAACATTGGTTTCATCGCTGGAATTAATTTTCTTACTATAGTGGGTGGCTGAAATATTGACTAAATTTGAATTCATTTCACAGCAGCTATCTTGGATTCCAGTATAGTGGCTATGCGCACTACTTGCCAAATTGACAACATGACTTTTCAAGATGACCTGCTAAGGCCTTAGTATGTAACTGATGCTCAGGTGCCATAAGAGAACTGTTGGCCTAACCCTGTGTATCTTTCTCTGATATCCATTGGAGCATTCTAATAACAATATGTGTGGGAAAGGGGAATGATGGAGGCAGGAGCAAAGACAGAGTGGAAAAAGAAGGAAGTGCTCTAGATAGGGAGAGCAAGGAAAATTAGAAGTAGGAGCCAAGGATAGGAGTCAAGTATGAAGAAGTGGAATAGAAAACTGACAGGAATGGAAGAACAGCCAAGGGAGATGCAGAAAGAACTGGGTCTCAAGAATTTAATTTCTCTGTTAAATCAAGTGTTTTTTCAGTGTTTGTATTATTAATTAGTTGATTCACTTAATTTTAGTATCTTCTGCCTTTGCACATAAAAACCTTTATAAGGGAATAGTGGGGGAAAATTCACATATGCTATTAGATTTCGTGAGAGAAGTTGTTTTAACACAGAGAAAAGGCTGTTATAAACTTTAATATTGAATAAAGATAAAAGAAAATGTTTTATTGTTGACCCAGACTTGTCAGCTAGTATTAAGGCACTTGGAGAGCCATACTCCCTTTTCCTTTCATCTGTACTTATTTTAAAGGAGGTTGCTTCTGGTAATATTTATGCTATATAGTATAAAGCCTTTAAAAGAAAGAAGGCATAATAAAATGTTGTAGAAATTAGACAGGTTCACTAATCTGATTATCTGACAGAGGTATATTGGTTCAAGTGATATATACTGAAGCTATAATTGCTACTGTACAGTTTCAGTACAGTAAAGGTATCCATTTTACCATTTCCAGTATTTCTGTATTTTGGCGAGGTTAAAGTTTTAACTTGTCCTAACCTTTTCTGAGTGGTCTGGTGTGGTCGTGAGCATTATCATTACTACTTTTTCTTTTTTGGAATAATAGTTCATGGACCCACCCAGTAGGGAACAATGGGAAAGTCACAGCAGAGGCTGTCAAATTTATCATGGTCAAAGGACATAGAATTGGGCATAGTGCTTCTAATTTAGCAGTAGGATGCTGCTTCTAATTTAGCAGTAGAAGCAGGAAATAGGAGGAAGGTTAGATGGTTAGATTTTCACCCTCATATGAGGCTGTCACTTTAGACTACGATTTGCTATGTCACATACGCTGAGCAGCAGGAGATTTCCAAGAAAAACCAATTGTATTCTCAATTCTTTATTCATGAAGTGGTATTTCCAAGTCAGTAACTTATATTCTTTTGAGTTTGAATTGAACAAGAATTCAAAATGGAAGTAGAGGATGATGATGAGGAAGAGGTTTGAGCTCTCTCTTGAGCTCTCTCTTAACTATTTCCTAATATTTATCACCATATCTAAGTATCATCTACTTCAGGGATGGGCAATTATTTCAACAGGAGGGCTGCTTAACAAGTTTTGGTGAGCTGTCAAGGGCC